CTTCGTCTTCATCTTGGTCTTCGTTTTCAAGGTCATCGGCTAGTTGTATAGATTGGGAACTAGCCGAACCCGAACGGTCGGAAGCGGAGGTTCCTTCATCGTTGTAGTTGTCGTCGTAAGAACGGTCTTGGGACCGATTTTCCGCATCCAACCAATCTTTGAAACACACGCACATTTCAAGTGTTTCGGGTTTTAGACTTGTTCTTCTATTGTCTAAAACCCTCCCGGATGCGCTGAAAGCTCGTTCGGAGGCAACAGAGGAGACTTGGATAGCAAGAATGTCTCGTGCCATTGCCGCCAAAGTTGGATGCTTCGTGCTTTATTGTTTCCACCATGCAAGGAGGTCGAGGCTGTTTATCTCATCGTCGTCCATGCCCTTGGTGAAGTCGTAACTCAGGTACATTTGCAACTCCGAGACATCGCTTTGCGTTCTCCTTATTGATGAATCACCTGAAAACCTTGAAATCAAGTTAGTAGCTTGTGAAAATAAATGTTTGGCCTTTTTACTTACGTTTTTGGATGGTTGGGAAGACCCTGAGCGAGGAACGGTGCCATATTTGGCTTCATAGACTGTATATAAACCAAAAAACTGATCCTTCACATTAGTCTTATAGTTTTCTACATCATCGTCAAGAAGCATGCAATGCATTGAAAGTAAATGTCAACTAACATAAATGTGTTTTCATACTTTTGCCTAGGATCTAATATGGAAGCAAAAATATAAATCAAAGGAATTTCACTGTAATATTTACGCCACTTTGTTTCCATTGCTGGAAGATATTGATCATAATCACTTTGGTTGCGATGATCAGCGAAAAGTTGGGTGAGTAAACATGCATTTGAAAGAACGTTTTGAGCACAAGGATTATAAATAGAAGAAAAACAATACGTCATGTTATATAATAATTGTAAAAATTGCATATATCGTTCACATTTAGCCCAATCATCCTCATATATAGCATTGTTTGGAAAGTTTTGGTTGTAAAACATTGTCAACGAATTCTTGTACTCAATTGCGTTGGTTAACATGTCATAGGTGGAATTCTACCTAGTTGGGCAATCGGTTTTGATTATTGTTGCCCTTATCTTTTGTTGTCTTAGAAAACTCTTCCATTCTTGGTATCTCATGTTTGAGCTATTAATAGACATAATAGCTTCTCTAATTTTGTTATCGTATGGACCCATTGCTCTAATTCCATCCTATACACACAAGTTAAGAACATGGGAAACACATCTAGTATGAAGTGCATCACCATCTAATATTACATCGGTCAAGTTTTGTTTGACATAATTAGAAGTATATGTCATTGAGGTTGCATTGTCAAATGTCATAGACATCATTTTATCTCGAAGGTTGTATTCATCTATTGCTTGCATCAAATGGTGAGAAATGTTAATACCGGTGTGGGGGTATTCCAGCATTTTGAAATGGATTATTCGTTTTTGTAACAACCATTGATCATCTACCCAATGGCAAGTCACACATAAACAGTGATATTTATAACCACTATCCCAAGAATCGACAGTCAAAGACACTCTACAGTTAAGGTTACTCAATTCGGCTTGTAAACGCATTTTGTACTCTAGGAAGTTTTTCATGGCGGCGGAACGAACGGTTTTCCTAGAGATTCTTTTATGTTGGGGTTGTAATGCTTTGTTAATGTAAGTGTTAAATGGGTCACTTTCGGCGAAGAGAAAAGGTTGTTCGGCGTGTACTATCATTTTCCCTAGTTCATCGCTATCCCTCTCATAGTTGTAGGTAAAGCTGTGTGGATGGAATTGAGAAATTTTTGGCTGGGTTGGATCACTAGCTGGTTTTGCACAATTTTTCATGTGTCTACCTAAGTGTCCCGTCCCAGATGAGGATTTTGCCGAGAATCGATGACCACATGTTTTACATCTTAGGAGGAAATAACGTCATACCTCACTTTTGCGGCTTTTGACAAGTACTTGCTCACTCTCGGTTAACCATTCCTCATGTGTGTGTGGGAATTGGGTGTTTGTAGAATCGGGGGTTTCTTGGTTAGTTGTAGAACCGGAGACATTTACGGTTTGTTGGCTACCTTGGCTAGAATAATAATTTTGTTGGTCAAAGTAATTTGGTGGAAATTGACCGAATTGTGGAAATTGCCCAAATTGGTTTGGTGGTGGTGGAAATTGTGGAAATCCGGACATATTGTAGGGTTGAAAACCGGAAGTACCATCGTGCCTAAATTGTTCAAAGCCTTGGGGGATGTTACCGGGGTCATTAGTTGGAATGGCCGGGTTCGAAATTTGGGGGCTCGTTGGATTAGGTGATTCCTTAGAACTACTAGCACTGGTAAGTCGGCCCTTCCCCCTAAATGATTGGTTGTTCGATGCCATAATTAATAATAATAATTAACAATAATAATAATAATTAATAACAACAATTTTAACAATAATAATAACAACAAATATAACAATAACAATAACAACAATAATAATTAATAACAACAAATATAACAATAACAATAACAATAACAACAATAATAATTACTAACAATAATTGTAATAATAACAATAACAACAATAATAAATTGAAGATTAGTTTAGATCTTACAACCGTGCTTCAACGCTTTTCACTAATTACGATTACGACTTTTAATTTTTTCCGATATTAAGAAATAATATTTAGAGAATTTAAGAGAATTATTAGATAATATAAGAGATTAAGAGAGGAAGATTGTGAATTTGTGATTTGGGAAGTGAATGGAATTGGATATTTATAGGGAATTTGGGAAAGAAATTGGCGGAAAACTAGCCGTTTATGGCTGTTGGAGCAACGACAAAAATGGCAAAAGAGCCGTTTTTTTACCGTTGGCACGGCGGGCCGTCCTTCGTGCCATGCGGCCAGCACGACGGGCTCGTGCCTAAAATTCAAAACGGTGTTTGCGGCACGCCCACGGCCCATGGCTGGGCCACCGTGCCGGGCCATGCCCGTGCCGCCCGCGGGCCAACTGGCCCGTGCCCACCTTTACGATCAGGTGTGTACAATGGGATACGTGCTTTATCATGAAACACTAGGAGTAGCCCAATATCGGGTGTTTTTAGTTCGAATCCCCATCAAAATACAATGGCCAACTGTCTATCTAGAATCTCTTTCTTCAGGAAGATTATAATTGTCGTCTTTGTCCTTGACGGAAAAGTTGGCTAGGAAGTCTGATACTACGAAACCTATGATGGTCTTTTGAGGGACAATTCGGAAAGCATGACCACCCATCGTGAATTCGTGATAGTTGGCAATTTAATGCGGCCTTTTCGAATAAGAACTTGAAAGATTCCATTGTTTATTTATATTACTTGAATGGTGTAGCGAGCATAAAGGACTCGTTTGGTTTGATCTAAAATATTTTTCACCGAAAATTTTCCTATTATTTCCCTTTTTCTTTTGTTTGGTTTATAGAGGGGTGGAAATAATTTTTCCAAAGGTGGAAAATTGTATCTATAAGGGTGGAAAACATCCTTTACAAAACAAGGAAAGCTATATTTTCCTGTGTATTCCTTATCTCCTTTTCACTTTCCTTTCATCCATCCCCAAATTTCCACTCCTATTTTTTATTTCTCTTTTTAACTTTTCTTGTAAACCAAACAAAGGAAAATCACAGTACTTGTCTTCTACTGAATCAATTGACATTAAGTACAATCAGAGAGGGATACTGAGAAGTGCTAGAACGAGAACCCGGGTATTCGAGTGTTAAGGATATTTTATGCAAAATACTATTTTATGGTTTGGGTGCTAAGGATACATACACTAAGCTGCTATAGTTAAATTAGTGTGATAACCGAATTCACTAATTATCAGACAATTATAAACAAGACATAATACTTATCCCCACCGTCTTTAATATTTTGCCCCATATTTGACTTTTCATGGGTACGTGTTTTAAAACGGTTTTATCTCCATTTTCTTACGTGTAATACAATCAAATGAATCCAACAAGATCCTACATGACTATATTATCTTTTATAGATTAACGCTATTCTATGGTCAAAGATTTTAAAGTTTGGCCCAAATTTTTGCAATGGGGCAAAAAGAAAGGACAATTGTTTTTAAAAATCGGGTGTAACAGTAATTTATTAGTGTGGCGGGAAGAAAAAGGAAAGAAATATAGGTAACTTTTGATAGTTTATGAGTAACTTTGATAATTTAAGGGTAATTTTGTGAGAATAAAAGTAACCGGATAACATGAGTAACTTTTGTTAGTTAAAGAACATTCATATTGGTATTATAAAAGGACTTGCTTGCAATTTATAAATAGTTGGAGTTACATGCTCACTATTGTGAAGCTACAAATGTTGTAGCGAAGGCCAAACCTTGTAGCTCCATGGAGCTACAAGGTTTTGCTCCACCCAATGCACTTATATTGATTTGTTTAATATTTTAAATATTTTTGTTTTATGTTTTTATTTTTTATTTTTTTATTTTTTTATACTTTTTGGTTTATTATTATTATTCCAATTACAAAAAATAAGTAAGGTTGTAGCTTAGATGTTGTACCTTATTTTAACTAAGAAAATAATGATGTGGCAATTGCTAGCTACAAACACATGTAGCTAACCATTGTGGATGCTTTAAGGGTAATTTTATGAAAATAAAAGTAACAGGATAATAAGGGTAAATTTTATGGAATTAAAGATAACTTTATTAATAATAAGGTAAACTTTTGGTATACAGGATATACGTTAAATTTAATGTACACCGGACATGTAAAATACAAACTTTTGAAAATAAACGTATAGAGGGAGTACATGTAATTTAGAGCTACGGAGTACCACATACATTATACTGTGTGTAAAATTATTCACTCACTTTGTCAAACTATATGTATTTTGAATTAATCGTAGAGAATTCATCACAAACATATGTTCATCATAAAATATGAAATAAAAATTCATACCTTTAAAATCAGAATAACCATTGCATATAAAATTATAAATAAATAAAAAATAAATAAAAAAAAAAGAAAAAGAAATAAAGATTACTCGTTAATATATTTGCACTATTAACTACTAAAGTCTCTCCATCCATTTACTAATTCATTACAAGCAACATAATCTGAAACCATAGAAACGAGTTCAAAACACTAGATACTACATCAGTTGTGCAGTTTAGCTGATACATTAACCTCAGCTTCATTGCTGCATATTGAAAGGCAAGCTACAGTATCGAATTCACCAAAAGGCATACGAAAAAAACCTCTGATTTTCGCAATTGTTTCAGAATGATCATATGGGTGTTTGCGATTCTTTTCGACTTGATGATCAATGGCTACTCGAAGTAGCAGAAAGGTAATAAGCAGTAGAAAATAAGGCATGTATAAAACACAGAATGCCACCAATTGATAACATATGGTGATGAGTAATGCCGCATGAAGCTCTATCTTTGCGATTTGCTAGTGTCCCAATCACCAGCAGAGATAATCCAATGACAAGTATAAGCCTGATTATGAATTACAATACCTTTTGCTTAGTAATCAAAATGACAAAATTGTGCCTTTTTTTGGGAGATATAATAATTTGAAAAATGCCGACCCCAAATTACTTTGGAACTAAGGCTTTGTTGTTGTTATTGTATAATAATTTAAAAAATAATACACTGTACTTCAGGCCCTCTGTTTCATACAGTAATATGTTACCCGTTTTGAATGGGTATACATACGAATTAAACATATCATTACTTAAAGTAGGAAAATGATATATACCCCTAGGACTACATACTAAAACTGGAAAAAAAAAATTATAAAAAAAAAATGAAAATGTCACATTAATTAAACTGATTTGAGTGTGATTTTGTCATGCATTCCTAAATTAATACTTATTTAAGAGATAAATTATATACTTATTTATAACCCTAAGAGCTATATATATCTGTACCCTTATGAGTTTTTTAAAAAAGGAAAAATTAGTTTTAATAATCCCAACTTTGACCAATTTTCTTTAAATAATCTCAACTTTTGATTATTTCTGAATAATCCCAATTTATATACGTATCTTCCTAAAATAATCTGAAGTGTTATTTATGTTGCTTTTGCTAATCCCTTTTGAGACTATTATGTATAACAAAAATAGAAGTTCGGATTATTATAAGAAGATACCTATATAAGTTGGATTAATTCGAAATAATCTTTACAAAAAATCAGCTAAAGTTATAATTATTGAAACCAATTTTTCAAAAAAAAATAAAATTGTTTATATGTCTAAGTTAGCACATAAATTTGTAATTTAAATTTTGAATGCCTCCCTACCTTAAAATGTTTGACATATTGACCATTAGTACTATTTCTTCTCAAATAGCTAGTCATATCACGCGTATTCTGTGCATTGAAATTCCTAAATGTTTGAAAAATATTGACCTAGTCACACTTGAATAGTTGACCTGAATCCAAAATTCCAAAGTTTAACCTAAATCAACCCTAAGTAAACCCAAAACGACCACAAATATGGAAATCAGCCTAGCCCAATCCAAGGAACCCAATAACCACATCCAATAATTCATAATTCCTAGTTCAATGCCTTTTCTTTTTTTTTTTTTCTTTTTACTTTTTCATCTTCACGTGATTAGTTGTGTGTCCCAATTCCCAATTTTCATGGTCTCGTGTTCTTAAAAATTCCAATTGCTCTTTTGCCTCGGTTTCCTAAAATTTCTACAGCTCATGGGAGATGTTGCGCACAATTTTAGATATCTAGAGTCCAATATTTTATTTTGGGTCGGTCCTAGATATTGCCCCGTTTTCTTGTTTAAATTCTTCATCTGCCTTAAATTAGTTGACGTATTTTGACCTTTAAAATTACTCTTTTAATTGCAGAATAACTGACATAATTAAACTTAAAATACATGTTTATGTGTTAGTTTGACTTTATTTTTACCTAAATAAATATTAATGAAAATTATAAAAAAGTTATATTATGAAACTTTATACCAAAACCTATCTAACAACATATTGTATGGTAAAATATGTTGTGATTATGTTAATAAAAATCTATAGTCAAATTTTATATATAAACACTGAAAAAATTCAACGTATCAGTTATTTTGGGACGGAGGGAGTATTTATTAACTCTTCTAACTAGCTTTTTGTAATTTATAAATTAAAAAGAAAATAAAAAATAAGAAAGACATACTGTTAGATTTCTCACAAGATGCATTTTCAATGTAGAGCCTCAATTTTTTATTCTTATTAATGTTGATCGTAGATATTTAAGATTAAAGTTATGCATTGCCAAAGGTGATGTTATGTCAATGATTTTGAAACGGAGGAATTAACATGTTTTTGCCATACATCCCTCATGCATAATAAACTTGTAAAAATGAAAAGGACACAAACCCCCTATCTATTTTGCAAAATTTTGATCCAAGCCTTAATAAATTACTCCCTCCGTCCCCGAAACTTTGACCCTTTTGGGTTGATTTCGCGGGTATTAAGAAGTTAAATTGGAAGTGTAAGAATGTATGGGGAAACTAAGAAAAGTACATTGAAAAGGGAAATTTATATTGGAATTGCAAAAAAGTAGAGAGAAAAAGTAATAAAAGTATATATAGAAAAAGCAAAATTTACATAGGGAAGCTAATTTTACACAAATATTATTGCAAATTAAAGAGTATTAAAATGCAAATGGGATGAACATTTTGGGACTAAAATTAAGCCTTAAGGGTCGAAGTTTTGGGGACGGAGAGAGTATTTATTAGTGGGGCAAACAAATAAAGATGAAAAGGAGCTTTTTTTTTTTTTTTTTTTTTTTAAACAAGCCAGTTCAAGTTCTATAATACAGAGTACTATATTTGGCATGATTATGAAAAACTTTTGAAATTTGTGTTACATTGAAACAATTTAACAAAATTCCATCTTAAATTATTTAATATATTCCTTAATATTTCAAAAAATTACTTTTAATTCTATAAAATATGAGGGTAATTGGTGAGTGAGGGATAGCTCACCAAGTGGTTAGAGCTTCCCTCTCAATTCCAAGAGATTTTGAGATCGATTTTCATCACTTGCCCTTAAAACTTTTTAAACACCAAAATATATATATATATATATATATATATATATATATATATATATATATATATATATATATATATATATATATATATATATATATATATATATCAGAAACTGAAGTTCTGAGCTCAAACGATCATCAATGGCAGAATCAAGGTGATTTCACCATTGAAGCTTTGCGTAAATCAAAGAGAAAATGTAGAGAGAGAAAAGTGTTTGAGAGAAGTAAATTTTGTGTGATTAGATTAAAGAGAAATAATGATTACAGCTGAGTATCTATACAAGAAAGTAAATAGCATTACAGATGAGCTGGCAAAGAACAAAATATATATATATATATATATATATATATATATATATATATATATATATATATAGGGGAGGGATCCGGTAAGAACCCCTCCTTATATAAGAACCTTAGTTATATAAGAACCAATCTCATTCGTAGGATTATATTAGGATGAGCGATCAGGATTAAAACCAAAAACCCTCCCCCAACCGTCCAAAATCTTCTCTCTCCTCAAATTTTCAATCCTCTTTACTTTCTCTCTCCTCAAATCCTGTAAATTGAACTTATTGAAGTATTTTCTTCAAATTTCGCATGAATTTCGCATAACCAACCTAAATTGTTCAAATCAAGTACGTTTTTTTTAGATTTCATTCAAATTTCGCATGATGTTCAATTTTTTCTTAATTTCGACTTCAATTTTTAGATTTCTGTGTGATTTTTGTTCCATTTTTTTTAATTGTTTTGTTGCTTTCGATTTTTTGATTTCATCTTGCGATTTCTATTCGATTTTTTTGGGTACGATTATTAAGTCCTATTATTCAGTTCGAATTCTATTCTGATTTGATTTTCGTTAATTTTTGGCGATTATAGGGTTCAAACTCAGTGATTTTAGGGCTGGAATTTCAGCGATTTTAATGTTCGAATTTTAGCGATTTTAGTTTCGAATTTCAGCAATATGGGGTAATTTCACCGCTGCTCTTGATTATTAGATTTTTCAGCCCATTTTTTCGATTTTTTTTCTTTTTGGCGTCATTTTTAGTGAGTGAAGGTGGAGATCGAGTGTGAGTAATGGTGGTGCGGTGGTTAGGAGCAGCGTGGGGTGCTACTGAATGGTGATTTGGTGGTCCGCGACTGCTTGTGGTGTTGGGGTGGCTGTGAGTTGTGGCATAGAATAGTCGTCTCTTGTTTATACTCGTACTCATATCTGCTCATATTGTTTGCGTTTTCTAAAGAGAATGCTAGTATTTGTATTAGCTTGGTAATTTGGCTTACTAATTTTTTGAGATTATATGAATTTGATTGTTGGGTATATATATATGTGGAGCCATGATGAGTTGATGACCGACTAATTGGATGCTGTTATTTATATATGTAGTTGGGTATCTTTATTCTTGATTCCATGTCATTTTAACTAATTATCATATCTTGGAATTAAACTAGATAGCTTGGTTGATTAAGCCACAAATTTTGCTTAGTTATTGCTAGAGTAGTAGTGCACGAAAAGTGAAGGAAACTAATCTTATTATAAATTTAGAATAATATAGATTTAGAACAAAAAAAGATTAGAACATAAGTAAAAAATTTAGAACATATGAAAAATTTAGAACATAGAAAAAAATGTTTAGAACATAGGCAGAAAAATTTAGAACATAGGGGAAAAAATTTAGAACATAGTCAAAATTTTAGAACATATATTTTGATTATTAGAGAAAAATTTAGAACATAGGTATACAAGTTTTCAATATGGGTATAAGATCGAGTTTAGAACATAGGATAAAAGTTTAGAACATAGAAAAAAAAAAGTTTAGAACACAACAAAAAAATTTAGAACATAAGAATTTTAGAACATAGGGAAAAAAGATTAGAACATAAGTGAAATTTTTTTTAAAAAAATTTATAATATAGGGAAAAAAAATTAGAACTTAAGAAAAGGTGTAGAAAATAGGAAAAATAATTTAGAACATAAAAGAAAATTTAGAACATAAGTTTAGAACATATGGTGAAAAAATTTAGAACATATGAAAATAATTCAGAACATATATTTAGAGCTTAGACAGAAAATTTAGAACATAGATGAAAACTTTTAGAACATAGGTAAAAATATAGAACATAGATAAAAAATGTCGAATATGAAAAAAAAAATTAGAACATAGTCAAAAAGTTTAGAACATAGGGTGAAAAAAATTTAGAACATAGGAAAAAAAGTTTAGAGCATAGGGCGAAAAAATTTAGTACATCAGAAAAAGTTTAGAATAGGAAAAAGTTTTGAACATAGGGTGAAAAAATTTAGTATATAGGATAAAAGTTTAGAAAATAGGGTGAGAAGTTCTAAGATTATAGATAGAAAAAGAACATATGGTGAAAATTTTCAGAAATATATGGAAAATTCAAAGCATAGACAGAAAAATTTTAAGTAATGGATAAAAAAAGTTTAGATCATAGGAAAATAATTTAGAACATATAAAAAGGCATTGGCAGAAAAAAAAATTAAAGTATTAGCAAAAATACTTTTGAAAAACTAAAGTATTAGCAAAAAACTTATGAACATTTACGGTAAATGAAAAAAAGAAGAACATATGCTAAAAGGCCTAAAACCTATTAGCTCAATTGGTAGAGCACTATGCAAATGCATAGAGAATGTAGGTTCGATTCCTACATAGGTTATCTCTATAAAAAAAAAAAAAAAAATCGAAAGTAAACAATAATAACTTAATAGTAAAACATGAAAATAAATCAAATTATTTTTTCAACTTATGTTCTAAATTATTTTTTTTATGTTCTAAATTATTTTTGCTTATGTTCTAAATTTTTTTGTATGTTCTAAATTTTTTCTGCTTATGTTCTAAAAATTTTCCCATATTCTAAATTTTTTTCTATGTTTTAAATGTAAACTTTTCAAAATTACAAAAATGCCATTACTAAAGGATCATTTTAGGTGGTTAGATCAAAACTAATAAAGGGCTGAGATTGGTTCTTATATAAGATTGGGTTCTTATATAGAGGAGGGTTCTTACATGAGCCTTCCTCTATATATATATATATATATATATATATATATATATATATATATATATATATATATATATATATATATATATATATATATATATATATATATATATATATATATATACCTACCAAGTGTTCTAATATCCTAGTCATTCTCTTACATTTACTACCATCATTGTAATCTATTAACTTCAAATTGTATTGTCACCTTCCAAAATCAGCAATCACGCTAGTTGTTCTAGCTAAACTCAACAACAATTATTTCCAAATAGAGAGAATAGTGTTAATATTAATAATGAGTTATCAACTAATTTTTTTTTGTCCTCAAATAATTGCTATGTTTTTAATTAAATCTATTACATACTACTAAAAGCAAATATAAGAGGACACGTGGCAACATATTTTCCCTCCAAATTACTTTCTAAAAAAAAAAAATTATATATATATACTGTATAATATTTGTATCTAAATTATGACTGTTATTTTATATAAAATCTAAAGTAAACTTCCTAAAATATAAACTTGCACAATTTTTTTTTCTATCAATCAACTTGTACATTATAACTATTACATATTTAAACATTTTCTCTCACATGTTTTATCGTTTTAATATAAATCTTGTGTTTTAATTTAATACATGATGAATCGCATCCTTATATTTTATATTTTTCTATATTATTGTATTGTCATTATAATTAATTAAAATCCGTACATTGCACGGGGTTCAACCTAGTTAATTATTAAATAACTATTTCGATGCGTTTAAAGGTAAATTTCTCAAATTCATCCAACCCATCTAATGTGGACTCCACCGCTAAATATCTATCTCACTCTCACTCACACTCTTTTATTCACATCTCATGCTATATGGGAGGGACTCTTCACATTCTTTCCCAATCAAATATTAGTAAGTTTATTTTCTCACTAACAACTAAAAAAATCTTTTGTAACCTTATAATCTACTCGATCTTTATATGCATACCCAAGCCTAAATCGACAATAATTTAAGGACAAACGGAGTACATTACGAAATAAAAGCAATAGATTACCATGTTAAGAGGAAGCATCCAGTTGTTAATTGGCGATTGGCGTAAGATTTTTGGTGATCTTCTCGAGAACAAAGACACATACAACCACCAAGTAAGCTTGATATAATGTGTGCTAGTATCAATAGCCCTGCTGCTGCTGCTCCTAACTTGAAGGCTTGTTCACTTGGACTCTTACACTCAAATATCCACATCTTTAAGTGTTTCGCCTGCGATGCAAAACAATCATTACCTTAGCTTCATTCATAACAAGGAGAAATATACCTGGGGGCAAATCTTGTCTACATCATTAATGAACATAACTCGTGACACTGATTAACAAAAAAGTTGAAAAAAGTACCTTGTTTTGAGCAATTTCTGCCTCAAGGCCACAAAGTCCTGCGGCAATATCTAAAGCAATGACCAAAAGACATACAAAAAATCCTCCGATTTTCGACATCGTTTCGAAAAGAAGCAATGTGGTATTGTGGTAAGATGCCAAGATGGGTATTGTGCTTCAGGGACAGTGATAAAATGTTGTAAACTTCTAAAGAGTATGTGGTGTTAATGAACAAGATAAACTTCGTTGAAAAAGGTTTGCTTGTTCACACGGTTTGTAACATGAAACTTGAAACTTTTTAAGTGTTTTGGAGTGATTCTTTAGTGTAAATGTGTATTTGGGATTCCGTAGATGGGGAGGGCAATAAGTAAGGTAAGAGAAAAAAAGCAGGGTGTAAAACAGCTCAAGGGTACGTGCTTGGAGCTATCTTTATTATATTCCATGGTCTAAAAGTGAGATTGATGGGTCCTTTACATTTGGAGTCTTTTTGACTTTATGATAACATGTCCCCTATGGTATCTTGCTAAGGGAAAGATTTGTTTCTTCAAATGTAATGAATACTTGTATGTGCATCTCTCTTTTAAGTACACGTATTCAGACATAATATGATTGTGGATTGGGCCAGGCCGTGTCAAAGTTTTTAAAAGGCGGTATAGGCACAGCTCTATACCACAAGTTACCGTGTCACGCTGGCATGTCAAAACTAAATTGAGTTTATTTTAGCGTGTTTTATCATATTGTGTTGTATTGTGATTCACAAAATAAATATGGCCTAATTTCGGCCCACACCCCAACACACAATAGTAAGTTGTGTAGTGCCTACACTACTTTTTCATACTAGATCAGGCCGACATGTGCTTCTTTACTTAGATGTATGATGAATTTCACATCTAAAGAAGAATTACAGTGCAAAGTGGAGGAAGTATACTCGTGCAAAGTGTATCAACTTTGTTGGCTAAACAGAGTTGATGGCTGTAGACACCTAATTGTGTCTCCCCAAAAACCAAACCCAGTGATTAGTACCTTTCATGTTTTGATTAACGAGTTCGGTGAAGATCGAGTTGAAGAGTCTCGTGAAGTTCCCTTAAGCCTTGACCATGTCTCTAACCTTTCGTAAAATGTTTTGACCAAAATTATTCATTTCGTGTCTTTAAGCCCAAAATCATTCATTTCATGTCCTCTTTATAAAAACGTCCAAACTAGTTTATTTTGGTCCATAATCCTGGTCCAATTATTGTTTAGTTGGATGGGGCTTGAAAAGAAAAGAACTTTCCAACATTATAAGCTCATATTCGACTTATAATGAAAAAATTATGGCCAAAATACTAAATTGAGCCCGAACAAAGCCTACTTGCGACCCGATGACCATGTGGAGGGTCCATTAACCTTAACTTCATTCCTAAACCAATTAGGATTTATTAAAAGCTTCTAGAATCCTCTAGAAGGTTGTTTTCGATCCTAAATCCCTTAGGATTTATTATCAGCTTCTAGAATTCTCTAGAAGGTTCTAATTTATCCTATTTTTGAAAAGATAAAGATTTAAGAATTTTACATCGGATAAAACATCTGTTTTTCAATGATCATAATCCCGGTAAAAATAGAATACGAACGGATATTCGGTTAACCCAATCCGATTGGGAATAGAATTCCGTACGGATTCAGTCTTCAAAAACCATCGCTGAGCAAAAGCACCATTGCGCCGCGATGGAACCTATTTTACTTGAATTCAATTTCTGACTCTTTTTCTGACCCTTCGACCTTCTTTTTTCCCTATAAATAAAGGTCGTATCACCCCATTTTTAATCACCAACAATCATCCTCTCTTTAAGCTAAAAGCTTTTCTCTCTCTCTCTTCTTTCTTGATTTCTAGCCTTAGCCTAAACATCCCAACACATCCAAACACACATCTTTTGTTGCTTTTCCCAAGAAAACACCATACCTCCTTCACGAGCTTTGAATACTCCTAGCCAAGCTCGAAGTTGCCTTCGACCTCAACGTGAAAGGTTGATAGTTCTGAGGGTTTGGTCCCAAATCTTTATTTCAATTCTTATTTGATTTATTTGGTTTATTTGTTTAATCTTTCTTGAAATTACTAACGTGTGTATTGTTTTGATAGAAGGAGATACGAGGCATCAAAGTAAGTAATTCAATTACTTAATTGTTCTTTTGATAGAAATCATGTTTAAGATGTTATATTAATTCTTAGTATCATTTAGGATGCTTAATTAATATTTCTAATGCCATGCTTCCTTGTATCATATTTAGGCTAATGCTTTGATTATGATTTTTGTTAGTGACATGCTAGGGTTTGTTATTAATTTGTTTTGTATCATGCCTAGGATCTTGCTATTAATCATGTTTTGATGAGATTATGATTATATTGATTATGATGTTTTGATTATGATGATGATTGTTGTGTTAATTATATGTTGCTTGATTATTCATGATTTATTGTTATTACTTGATCACGCCCCTTCTTGCAGGTTTAAAGGGAATTCGTACTTGAAATCACGCCTAATAAGATAATTAATAATTTGATTTAGCCTTAATATGATTTTAATTCAAGTGATCGCCAATAATAGATTTATTTGTGCATTAATAATGAACCAACGTAGATTAAACAGGTTTAGGATTAACTTAATGTATGTATGTTGATCGGAAAGCGCACATGAATATTATAAGAATTAAGTAGAGGCCGATTTAGGGCGGGTTCAATCTCTTTTAGGTTGGATTCATACCATCATCCTCGAATATCCAGTCATGGTTCCGTACCACTATGGAGTTATGGATCTCCGTGATCGTGAATGGGGTGTAACCTTCACACCCGTGAATGGTTTACAAGTTCCTAAAACTTGTTGGCGACTCTTTTATCTCTATCTTCCTTCCCTTTAGACGCCACCATGCCTAAAAGCATGATCACAGTGGGGCTCAAGGTTGGGTTTGAAAAATTCCCTACAACGGTTGTTTCAGAATTTCCAGTTACTGGCTTCGCGGTTGCTTTACTCTAAGTATTCGGCTCTTAGGTCTTTTCATCAGGATCGATTAATCTCGGCCTTTGTGGGGTGCTAGGGGTCTTGCTTTAGGTATGGCCTGTCTTGCTCCTGGTATTGTTTGGGAGGCTAAATTTGGACGTGATGTACGAATCACACAGGATGCATGGGTTTTGGGGGAACCTATGCAGTTTAAGTCGCTTCCCTCTGAGTCGGAGTTCCTGACTCATGTTTCTTCTCATACTGATCCGCGTTCTAATGCGTGGGATGTCTCTCGAGTTCATCGGCTATTTAATACTTGTTCCGCTGTGAAGATTTTATCCCTTGATCGTCCTTTGTAGTGGAAGGATGGCTTTGTGTATTGGAAATTTACTAGGGAGGGAAAGGTCTACACAAAATTAGTATATGCTACGCTGATGCAGGCTGATTTCCAGTCTTATGGGGTAGATGCACTCCCCTCTTCATGGTGGGGTAGGTTTTGGTCTCCCCCTCTTCTTCCTCGTTAGCGTGTCTTTGGCTGGAAGCTTTTGCAACAAGCTTTGCTTCTTGCCTCCATCCTGGCGTCCTGTGGTATGCCTATTGATCCTGTGTATTGTTTTTGTGGCATGGCAAATGAGAGTTTGGATCATCTTTTCCGAGAGTGTTGTTTTATCTGTCCTCTTTGGGGCTTGGAGTGTTTTAGAGGTCTGGTCCTATTTCGAGCTCTTCGTCATTTCAAGAAGTTTGGTTCATACGCTCGATTTCTGTCTTCTCTTCAACTAAGGATTGTGAAGGTTTGGCTGGTTTTTTTTGCTATCTTGTGGGCTATTTGGCTTTCGCGCAATGCTTTGCGTTTTCGTCAGACTTTGTGCTCTATTACTTATATTATGGCGCTTGCTGCTGATTGGAAAGCCCGCTGTGTGTCTTCTCTAAAATGGAAGGAGGAATATATGGTTCTTTCTGGTTCGCGTCAACCGGTTGTCTCTTTGTTTGATCCGGTTGTATTGAATGGTTCGCTTGACGTGTCTCCTTTGGTTTGTTTGGTTGTTGATGGGGCTTGGGAGAGGTCGGATAATAGGGTAGGAGCTGGTTGGATCCTTCGTTGCTCTGATTTTGATAGGGTTTTGGGTGGGGGTTCTAGAGCTTTATTGGCTTCTTCAGCTTTGCATGCTGAAATTCAGGCTTGTTGTTGGGCCTTGGCTATGGATGTGCGTTAAGGCTTTCTCAGTGTTCGTCTATAAACTGATTGTTCAGATATCTTGATGCTATTACGTGGTTATAGGAGGACTGTCATGTCTTCCTATTGGCTCCTTGGGCCTCTGCATTCCCTTGTAGCCTCGTGCTCGACTCTCCATGTCCAGAAGTCCCTCGTCTTTGGGTGTCTCCTGCTCATTGGCTAGCTACTCATACTCATCGTCGTCACCTTCAACATTTTACGTTCTGATTCTTGTTTCTTGTTGTGTTTTTATCTTGTTAATTGTATAGTCCTTTTGTAAGTAAAAAAAAAAAAAAAAAAAAAAAAACCTACGTATGTGAATTTCAGAATATGTTATGTCATGTGCAAAGTGTACTCTTAGTATTTTATTTTTTTATTTTTTCATTTTTTTAATTTCTTTGTTGTAAGTTTTGGATACGTTTAGGCCCAACCCAAGCCCACCGCTAAATTTCCCATACATACTCCATCCTCTAGCCCAGCTTAAAATATCCAAGGGAAAAATTATATAAACATAAAATATACGGAGTGTTTTATATAATTGTACTAGATTAGTGCCCGTACTACGTACGATAGTATTAATATTTTTTTTCATAATTAATTTGTGATATAATATAAAATGAGGCAACTCATGTGGAATAAGGTAAAAATTATTAAAACTACAATTGAGAAAAAAAAAACTCCGTATTATTTTTCATTAATTGTATTGAAAATATTTAAAAATAGTGTACATTATATTACATTAATGATGCATGTTATTCCCAATAAAACTATACATCGTAGATGTTATATGACCATTTTTGTGTTTATATTTTTTTACTTTTTTTTTGTATGGAATTTAGTTTAAAAAAATACTATACAATGCACTTCCAAAAAATAAGTTAAGTAGAATAATTTTTTTTTTTTTTTTTTTTTAAAAATAACTCAAACCCGGCATCATATATAGTGTTGGTGGGAATTTTTATAATATTAGCTTGACATATGTCCAAAAAAATCGATGTAAGCATGACCTGTTTTAGTAATAGTTAATAGATTTTTTGAAGGAAATTTTTTTTATAAGTTGGTAAAATTATTACAGAAATATTTAGAAAACTAACTCAATTATTATTATTTTATAAGATTTCAAATCAACACCATAAAACCCCACTATTGAACAACTATATAATGGTAATTTAATGTTAATGTTGTAATTTTGGCTTCGTTATTTTATACTCTCCACCATATTTCGAACTTCTAAATTATAGCTTATTCTCCCTTAATTAAAAGGTCACAAAATCTTGTGTAACTATTTTAAGTAAATAAAACATGAAATAAAAAGGAATACAATTATTATAAAGATACTATATAAGATTACGAATAATATATTATTATAGTTGTAGTATACAAATATTCCATAGATAAAATATTTTTGCTAAAAAGGGAGGGGGAATTTTGGAGGGAATTATTATAATTATATTATATAAATATTACAAAAGTAAAAGATTTTTGCTAAAAAAGAAGGAGGGTTATGGAGGGAAAAAACAGGAAGTGACACGTGTCATTCCTAGTGTCTGTTTTAGTATTATGTTATTAATTGCTTGGAAAAAAACTTACAGTACTCCGGATTATTGCTTTCACTATTAGCTTCTTTTGGTTATTATTTGCTTGTAAGAAAATTTAATACTATTCCATAATGTTAAAGGGGATTGACATAAATGGGAAAAACGAAGCGTGCTAAAAGAAATTTCGAAAACAGAAAAAGATAAATAAAAAAAAAAGGAAAAAAATTTCACAATTTTCAGAAACGAATGTATATGGTAGTATATCACAGTTACATGCCATAATTTGCTTGAATCATATTCAGAGTGCATTACATATAAGCATATGAAACATTAACTCTCCTGAAAAAATTTCCCAGAACTAGCTGAAACCAATGAAGAGAGTAGAAGATGGTCTTATAAGAAATCTTAAGCTTCTACTACAGCTTCATAAAAGAGGCAAACAGGACCAAATTGGAGTTACAGAGACAAAAAAAATATATTAATAGTCCGAATCGTTGTTTAACTTTGTTAAGGATCATAATACTACTCTACTGCCAAGCACACCCCCGTCAAAAAGGGAAATTCAGCATAAATACAAACACAAAACAGTTGACAATATATATACATACAATTCTCAGAATCTATAAGATTGAATTAAATTTTTTTAAAAACTATTAATATTCAACTAGATCACAAACAAATAACTCTATAGACAAAAAATAAGTCAATTTTAGATGAAAATCTAGTATATCTACCGCGATGCTCTTCTAATCAATCATCGTCTGAATCTGAACTGGAGTCCACACGTCTATCAGCTATTGCAGGAAATAATTTCTGCCGCATATCCTGTATGGATTGATGCTGATCTAGAGCAGGTCTTTTGAGGGAAGATTCCTTGCTGGAGTTTCTTGATAACCTTGCAGATTGCCTCAATTCTGTACAAATCTTATCCAGCATTAAGAGAAAGTCGCGCACAATACTGAACAAACGCAAGCCTTCTTCTCTTCCAGCATTTGATCCATGGAAATAGTCTGCTGTTTTCCTCACCAAATCTGATATTCTTTTTTCTTCTTCTTGTAGCCATGTTGCCTCACCTTCTGAATGCTCTACAAAACTTACAAGAGCCTGATAGAACCCAGTCTCTTCCTCAGGAGTACCCATCTCATTGTTTAAGAAATTTTTTATTTTCGTTATTGACTGACCAAGCTTAGACACTGTTGACGTAAGCACATCATTGTCGATAATTGCTGCCTTTTTTACATTTTCAAGTTCGCTGCTTATACCTGACACAACTTGAAGGCCAAGAGTCTGGTACTGTTCTGATGGATCAAAGGTAGGATCCTCAACAGAATCATCAGTCTTCATGCTAGACACACTGCGGTTATCTTTTGCAGCACGCATAGCTTTCAAGCCTTCTGATCGTATTATCTCTTGAACAACAAAGTGCAACAATGTGGTCTTGCCATCTGTTCCTTTTACATCAGCAAGTTTCAAGAGGGTATCAAGTTTGAATGCCTGAGCCCCCCCTCGATAGGTGCCATCGTTCATACGGTTGCCTGTTTTCAGAACAGCTTCCAAGAGTTTTAGAAATAGTCTACTCTTTTTGAGGTCATCGCAAGCCACCTGGAAGATAAAACAGAAATCACATACACCAACTAACTTCCTGGAAAGACCTAAAAATCTATATTTCAAGTATTGTTTTACATTCAGGAAGGCATGATCTATTGAAAGTGAGAAGATCAATAGTTTATTCAGTTACATCTATTATTTGGCGAGGAATAGAACTATTACATCTTATTTCACCCTCTCCAAGACAATTAGGGTATGGAAAATACGATTGGAAGAACTAAGTTCAACATTAATTTTAATATCTCCTAACAAATTTATCACCAAGTTTAAATCCCTCTTACGCATAGAATTAATGATTATGGCCTTCTTACCTCCAATGTAGCAAAGGACTCTTTAATATTGGAAACTTCTTCCTTGAAAGTCATCATGAACATCAGTGAATCCATCCTTTTAAAAGCAAAGGGAATATCTACCATTACTTTTAAGAATCTTTCTGCAGGTCCAAGTTGAGAAGTATCACCACTGAATATTCGAAGCTTTAGTTCTTCTTCTTGTGTTGGTGCCATTCTCAGCAATGTTTGCAAAAGCTCTGTTGGAAGCTTGTTCCCTGATTCAATGCAGATAGCCCCAGACTTATTAATTTGAAGAAGAAATAAGATAAGAAAATTATAAACAGGTGACAACAAAATCAGGAAACAACAAAATAATATTCTGTGTGAAAGGCATATGTAAGTACAGAATTAACAATCTTATCATGAACTAGAGAAGTAGCACCAAGAGTCCAAGATGGCTGTTTCGAAGGCTTACTTCCTCTAAACGACATCATAGTTTGCAATCAATCTCACAGATGCCTTAATGGCATAATAAGAAGTGTCACAGCTTATTCGTCAGTTACGCTATTGCAAATATCGGAGATGGAGTGTTACATGAAAAGGTGGAATTTGGACATGGTACATACCATGTTTTTGTTGTTATTTGAATCACTCATTAATGTGCATGGGGAGTTTATGGAAAGTAAGCACTTAATTGGATTAGTTTAACGGATAGTATAGTGGAATAGCTTGACACAATGTACAGTCTGATCCATGGAGCAATAACATGGCATAAAAGGGATATGCATTGACATGCACTGGTGTCGTGACAACTTCAAGTTCAGCACCACATATATATAGATATATAATATCTAGCACTGGGGAGAGCCATACCTCACAGATAAACTAATTAATTTCAGATGTTACATATAACCCCACTAAAGTAGGAAATACGGTGTTCCACATACTCTATATGTGCAATAAAATATGCACAGTGAGCCTGTGAGAGCTGTGACTACAAGAAAGAAAAAGATAAGATTTAGAAATATGAAATGTGAACCTAACACCTTTATTCATTTAAAGCATTGATAAATTCATCACTATTGATAGGAGCTAGATAAGACATCATCCTTTTCTGCAAATTGTGCACACTATGGTTCATCTTCCTGAGTATAAGTAATGCATTTATCAAGTAATTGTTTTGTGAGCGTGTTTGAGTGAATTGTATAGTTAATTCAATACATGGACGAATGCAGAAGTAAGCTACCGATTAAAGTTGAAAAGAGGGAAGAAAGATAGGGAGATATACCTTCCAAAAGGGCATCGCGAACTTCCTCTGTTGTTACGTTAAGTGCTTTAAGAAGGATGGATAAGTTTTGAGACTTCTTTGGATCAATTATCTGTATATATTGTGGTTGAGAAGCATCATTTGACTGATTCCTATTCCCAGCATTCCGTTTGTTATCAGGATTATATCCAAACAGAGATTCTATCATCTCTTCGTTGAACCTGCAATTTACGCAGATATCAATTATACTGGTGATAACCGTGCTTAAACCAACATAGCAATTTTAATAAATAAACTTTCCTCCAAAAATACATGTAATTGTGAGAATATGCTTTCAAAGTAGATCCACAGAGACTTTTAAAGAATCTTACTGGAACGATCCTGATCGAATTTCATCCCACACCATTGACTGCTCAGGGTTACCGACCACTTTATCCCAGAAGAATGGCTTTAGCTTTGTTTTAGGGGCATCAGGATCATTTGTAGGGTCACTACCATCACCAGAAGCTGATCGTCCACGACTTGGAGGTCCTTTACCACCTGCTTTTGGAGGCGCAGGAGGAGGTTTAACACCTTTTGGTGGTGGTGGAGGCTGAGGTTTAGGCTTTGGTGGTGGAGGTGGTGGAGGTGCTGGGGCAGGAGGATGACTTGCTTTTTCAGGAGTAAGTTTCTGGTAAGACAATCCTTCAGTATTTGTAGAACCATTTTCTGGAATTCCAGCTAGGGGACCACCAAATCCCTCTTGTTTTAGATTTGAGTCGTTGAAAGATGTATTTCTTCCACTATCCTTAATGTCAGAACTCATTGAAGAGCCTGGCAGATGAATTTAATACATTAGGATATAAATAAGAGCAACTGACATAAATTCAATTGAGAAAACACACACACACAGGAAAAAAGGAAAGAGGAACACTGAGATTACCAGCTGAATAGTCACTTGAACTCAATGTCAGAAGAGGTCTGTCATCTTTCGGCCCATCTGCAACCCAGTTGTGACCTCTCATTAGGCAACAAAATAATAGCAAGGCAAAAATGACAACTGTTCCTGCTATTGATGCAGCAATAGTTATAACTTTGTTTAACTTTTTGTTATGTTCTTCCCTCCCTGAAGTAGCTACTGGAACCTCAACTTTCATAGGTGGTGGTGATGGATAAAGCAAATCAGGTGGTATGATAATTGGGTCATCAAATATATCTGGTGTTGGACTAGCAGCAGTACTGGAAGCAACTGCATCAACAGTGTCAGACTGTTAACAAAAGATAGGAATGGGGATGAGAAAAGCAAATGGATTACAGAAAGAACTGAAGCAACATTCAAAGATCTACCTTTAGAAGATTTCTCAGCCAGATATCTTCTAGGAAAACTATACTGATGAGAATGCAGTTTAGCATTACGACTACAACCATCTTGTTCACTCAAACCACGAAATAGATGGTGATTCTTTCTTACACAACCCAATACAAGTTCTTGGAGACTGGACTGCAAGGAAGTCAAGGTCCCATGAGGCCTCTGCTTTGCCAAAATTATACTTGACCCAATGTTCATTTCACCAGTTTTCAATGACAAATACAAGATGCATTCCCCGAGTTCATTCTTCATTTCTGTCAGTTCTTTGGAGCAGCTTTTCTGCATGTATTCTGCCTGAGGAGAGAAATCTATTCAATTTTCAAGTTTGATAAATATACAGCTTCATAATATACAATTGAAAGAAACTGGTGAGCAAAATATGACAACTAGGATCCGAAAAAGAATGTGTCCAAATTCTTAACGCATCTAGTATAATCTTTTAAGCAAGATTGATGACAAATCTATAAGATCACATTCCCCTCTCAGATACCATACCCAAGATTTCCATGTCAAAGAGATCCATCATAGATAATAAAACAACAACAACAACAAAGCCTTAGTCCAAAATGATTTGGGGTCAGCTAACATGAATAGTCAATTTGTCATAAGTAAATGAAACATTGTAACAAAAATCAAGTGAATGTGCGATCAAGACGGTGTCGCTCAATGAACATGCTTCTGTCTGAATTTGCACGGTTTAACAGATAATATTTACTACATAGTTCTCTACAATATAGTAGAAATGATATTGTTCATGCAGTGGTTCTTCATAGATGAACAGAACTAGTATCTAACTACCTAATTTACAACAATTTGTGGCAGATAACAGGAATTAAACATGGATAAAAGGGAAATATTAGAATGGTGAACCCCTCAAAAACAAAATCTCACCTGTAGACCCACCTCCCTCCACAAATCGCCATTCTCCACCACCAAAACAACCATTCCTTTCCTTCTTTCCATACACCCATTCTCTCTACTCCACACCACTTTTCCATTTGGGCAATAATTTTGCTCGTATAAGAGCAAGAGATTTTTTTTACGAACACTTCTGAGTAACAACAACCAGAAAAGAGTAAGCTAACAACAAGACCGCGCTACATAACACAAAACAACCTCATAATCTATTATTACACACACCATGAACATTATGCAACTATAACAATCAGATACATATCTTGATTCACATTAGAAATCCATCCTATTGAATTACTTGTATATTTAAAGAAAAAAATAAAAGCAAGTTTCATATACCCATTTTTTCATTACAAGTACAATAAAACCAGCATTAGCAATCAGTCGATCAAAACTCGATTTTACAAATGACATACATTATAACAAATCAAACAATCAAACACCCTTCAATTGTTAAACAATGCGAAATATGAGGTTTTGAAAAAATTATTGACATACCCATTGTTTCTTAAGCTCCAGTGGACAAGATTCAAATTCATTACCATGATATATTCTGGTAGAACATTCTCCTTCCAAGAAACTACAGGCAAAAAGCAAAATTGCTACCAAAATAATGATATAATTGAGTTTTCTCATTTCCATGAATCACCAAATTATTACTATTCCACGCCCATTTCCTTCTTTTCATCTCATCAAATAATAATTTCTCCTACACAATATTATCCTAAAATTATTATATGATTCAACAAAAATCATACAATCAAAATTTCAATAATATTGCATTAAATCATGCCCCCTTTTTGTTCTTGAAGATCAGAAATTCCAAAATGTGAGAACCTACAAAATAAAATGAAATAAAATAAATCAAAATCTAGTAAAGATAATAAGATTGAAAATGGGACAAAATTAAGATATTGCACAGAATTATACCTGAATGAGCTAAAAGGGGTGAAAATTGTAACATATAACAGAATTATAAAGAAATAAAAGTTATGAATTGTTTGTTGTTTTTGTGAAATGCTGATCAAGCAACGTTTTTCTCGGGGATAGTAAAAATAAAAAAAAAAACAAAAACAAATAAAAAAAGAAAAAAGTGGGAATGAAGTTTGGAGTTCACCCCCACCTCTTTGGTTCCCTCCTGGTAGACGTGCCGAGGACTACGTAGAGACATACACCAATTTCTACATTTTCGCTTTCACAGTTGGGGATGACCATGGCTCTGACTCTGATGTTCTAAAGATTGGCACAGGTTGGGTCGGGTTGGGCAAACGGATGTGAGCCTGTGCCATTATCAAGTACCTTATTCTCAACTTCCAATTGGTCTAAGATACATTCTTATACAGCTAGCATAGCTACAACAGCCCAAATGCGCAATGAACCTTTATAAAACGCAGACCCAATAAATGACTTTACTTCTCGCCATTATTCCATTTACATTAAAGCTGAAAAATTTAACAATTAAACAACTCTTCATTTTCATACTACTCATTCTCTCTCCTCTCTATAATTTTCTCTCTCTAAAAACTGGAGAATCGCTATGGATATTCGATAGAGTAAGACATTGACCAAAAATTTCCCAATAAAAGGTAAATTTATTTGATTACTTTAGTTTGTTTGAATTTTATGGTACTATATTAAAATTGAGTACTTAATATGATTTTATTTAAAAAGTTTCAAAATTCATGGATTGAATTTATATAATTTGTGTGAGATTATATGAACATCGTTTTGATTTGTTCGAATTTACTTGTACTCGATTTAATTTGTGTAATTGTATGATTATATTCATGAATTTTTTCATATTTTACGGACTACGCTCTCTTTCTTTATGTAGAAATTAAAAAAAATAATTAAAAAAAAAAGTAATAACTACACTTGATCTAGAAGAGTAAGTATGTGTAAATTAGTAATTGTTACATTGTTGATAATCTAGAATTTGAAGAACAATGTGAGGAAAATCTAAGTAAGAAGTATGTCCAATTTTTTGATGCTTATGTTCATTTTTTTGAAACGTAATGTTCATAATAATCTTTGAATTTCTTTTTGTTCATTCTTTTTATCTTAAAGTTTCATTTTATCAAGTATAATAACAAGTATTAAGTCTATTCATTTTTTTAATACATATATTCATTTATAAAACACATTTTTTTTTTTTAAAAAAATAGCTCATATTTTTTTAAAACGTAATGTTCATAATCTTTGAATTTCCTTTTGTTCATTCTTTTTATCTTAAAGTTTCATTTTATCAAGTATAATAACAAGTATCAAGTCTCTTCATTTTTTTAATACATATATTCATTTTTTTAAAAAAATTTCATATTTTTTTAAATTCCACAAAAAAAAAAAAAAAAAAAAAAAGAGGGTTCATTTTTTTTAAAGTGTATGTTCATTTTTATAACATCATATGTTCATTTTTTTTTACAAGTATAGCGACGAGTATGTTCAATTTTTAATGCTTTTTTTTTTTTTAATGCATATTGATTTATTATCAATATACTTTATGTCCATAATCATTTAACTTTAAGTTCATATTTATTTTGCCTTATGTTCGTATATATTAATTAATTACATATAGCTCATAAAAATTGTAGTGTTTATTTGCTAAAGTAGATGAAGATATACATATCAGATCTTTTGTAAGTGTAGGTTTGTGACTTAAAAGCTTATGATGTAAGTTTTTTATATCTTAAATATTCATTTATAAATGTGTGCTCATTTTTAAATCTTATATGTTCAAATATTTATTTGATTTGTTCATATTTTTGTTTTTCAGACTGATCAAATTAGGAAGTTAAGGGTGAGAGATTGTGCTAAAATTATACTAAAGAAGAAACACAGAAGGACATAGAGGTTACAATAGAAATACTAAATCAACTACTTTGCAAAACAAGTATATATATATATATATATATATATATATATATATATATATATATATATATATATATATATATATATATATATATATATATATATATATATATATATATATATATATATATATATATATATATATATATATATATATATATATATATAATTGAGATCATGTGAGAATCTAGGAGGAACTCATCTGGACCATTGATTCATTTAATCTAACGGTTGGGATGTTGTCCGCCTTTTTGCTAGAGTAATGACATTTTGGTAAATCTATCGAATACTTACCCATCAGCTTCTATTTCCACTCTCTCTTCTTCCCATTTTTTCTCTCTTGCTGCTCTGCTAGTCTACTCTCTTGCGATTTCGACGTTCGTAAATTCACAAATTTTTCATCATCAATTGCTGTTCTCTAAATTATAGGCGAAGTAAGTTAATTTGATTTTGATTTTCGTTGTTTTCTATGATTTAATTTGAATTTTAAATCAAGATTGTGCGATTTTGATTGCAAAAATTAAGGCTTCACATTTTGTGATTCTGAGTAGATTTGATTTTGATTTTCGTTGTTTTCTATGATTTAATTTGAATTTTAAATCAAGATTGTGCGATTTTGATTGCAAAAATTAGGGTTTCACATTTTGTGATTCTGATTAATGTATTAGAGTCTTTACAATTATGTGTTTGTATTAGGGTATTCACAATTACTTGGTTCGGAATATATGATTTCGATTGATGAATACGTTTTTTACAAGTTTTTGTTTGATTTCAGCTGATAAAATTGCAGTTTTGTGAATTTTTATTTATTTATTTTTAGTGAATTTTTAATGTGCCAGTATACTCTGAGTATAATGGTTTTCATCAAATGCTCAACTACTTCCTCGTATCTGAAGTAATGCTTGAAATTTGATCCAATTCGACAATTTTGCTGTGTAATTTACCAAATTTTTGTTGAGAACTCTTTACTTCAATTGCAAATTCACTTTGAACTTTGAAGCATAGAAAAATGTGTGATTACAATAGTTTCGTCTTTGATCTGTGTTAATTGATCATATCAAATTTCCTATCATATTCCAGCTTGAATTTGCAGCTTAAATTTTGAAGTTGATAGGAAATTCGGCATGAATTTGGTCGTTGATTGGTTATTAGACCAAGGGTTGCAAATGAGGTGATTATACTTGTATCTAAGTTGATTTGCTAGGAGTAAACGTAACTATGTTGCATATCCAGCATTTGTTCATAACTTTACTTGAGCCTTTTCTGACTAATGCCTAATGACTAGGTAATGGAAGTTCTGGCTGGCAAGCTCCTGAACAGTTACTTCATGAACGCCAAACACGGGCTTTGGATATGTTTAGCTTAGGCTATGTACTCTTTTTCTCTGTTACTGGTGGCAGACATCCTTTCGGTGATCGACTTGAACGTGATATCAATATAATCAGGAACCGAGTGGATTTTAATCTTGTGGAGAATATGCCAGAAGCACAGGATCTATAAACTTGCTGCTATTGAAAGATATTAACAGCAATCAAGCGTGTTCTGCTACTACCCTCCGAATGAGCTGTTTGATATATATGCTGCAAAAATCTCGGATTCAGAAGCTGCTTAATCATCCCGCAACTGCTGCTGTTCCTTGGTGTCCTTTTGCTACTAATGCTCTAGTCTAGTGGCCTTTTCTCAGTAGCTTGATATTTTAGTCAGTTTTATCTCTAATAATTTTGATACTTTGTGTATTTTCAGGTTGAGTGTCCTAAGTATCCAGGCTTTTGTATAGCACAACAAAGGAAGGAATATATCCATTTGTTGAAATATTTCACACCCCAAAGCAAGTATGTTAGATCCTTTTATATCTAATACTCCGTAGTCTTTTGGGATTTGGATTATGCAAGCATCCAGTTTTAGGATCTTACCTCCTTTTAAATTAGATTTACTTTTGAGATCGTTTTATTTTTTTTATTTACTTTTTGAGTAATTTTCTTTATATCGACAATATACACTAGCCTACTAGCTCAATAGGTAGAGCATTGTGCAAGTGCACAAAAGATGTGGGTTCGAATCCCATGTAGGTCTATTTATGAGATGAAATTATTTCTTTCAATTATTTGTGTGTATTTCATTCAGTTTATTTTAAAGTCTTTTTTATTCACTTTAGATTCTTTTTTATTTAATTTTAAATACCCTAATCTTCTTGCTAGTTGGAGGTCGTATCTTAATGCAAGAGCTTCAGCAATTGCAGGAGAAGTGTAGTATGATCATACTTTTCCAACAGCTACAACCTTATCCTACTCATCCATGATCACTGTCCCAAGCCTAATAGCCCGCCCCACTCAAACATATGCATCCATATCCACTTTCTTGTAAATGATCGGGAAGCTGCTGTGAGCAACAGTGCAGCCTGTGCAGGAGGAGCAGCAGAAGCATGAGCAGCAGAATAAGCTGAGGTATTTTGAGTTCAACACTATCACCAAACAGTGACATGTCCCATCTCCAACTCCAACCCCTACCTAGATACGAAATAAAAGAACAAAACTATGTTACCATAACCAAAGGCTTTATTGCAGTTTACTTTATAGATTATTTTATTTACTTTTAAGATAATTTGGTTTACTTTTGAGTAATTTTTTATTTATTGTGGGTTCGAATCCCACGTAGGTTCATTTCTATTTACTTTAATAAATATTTTATTTACTTTAATTTATTTTGTATCTACTTTTATTACTAGAAACTCAAGCTCACTTATCTAAGGATTAAAGATATAAACATGTTGGTAAACTTATACCATGCCTTTTCTTTTTAGCAATGTGCACCCTAGACTGAATAGTTGTGAGTAGATATTATTATTTACTTTTAAGTAAATACTAATTACTTTTGATTTACTTTTTAGCTACTTTGATATACTTTTGAGATGTTTTGAATTACTTTAGAATGTTTTGTATTTACTTTTAGAGGTAACCTATGTAGGAATCGAACCTACATCTCTATGCATCCGCATAGTGCTCTACCACTTGAGCTAATAGGTTTACTATAGAGTCTTTTTTATTCACTTTAAATACTTTTTTATTTACTTTAGACAACTACTATAGGAATCTACATTTTCCAACCTTATTCATCTTTTGTATTTTCAAACCCAATGTAAACGAAGATGAGCTATTAACAGCCACACTAACGTGAGAATTCCCCGCCTTTGCTTTATTGCACGCCATGGGACTTGGGTGAGCAAAGCATAGCAGCATCACATAAGAGCTCCACCCAAACCTTGCTTGTTATCTCCCATTGAATGTCACCGAATGTTTTTAGATGCTTTGTGAGAAGACAAGCATCTAGAACAATTCTAGTTCCTGCAATTCCAGTTCACCTCATCTGTTTTTGATTTATTTACTTTTGAGTGTTTTTTATTTACTTTTGAGTGTTTTTCATTTACTTCAATGCTCTTTAATTTACTTCGAGCGTTTTTCATTTAGTTTTAGAGACAACCTATGTAGGAATTGAACCTACATCCCCTATGCATTTGCATAGTGCTCTACCACTTGAGCTAATAGGTTTTAGTACACCTAGTAACAATCTAAAGCATAATCGATAATCTCATTTAACTTTTTTTTTTTTAGTAAAATGACCATTATTTTTTCTAGCTTCTTCTTGCTCTAGAGTTTCTTTTTGCTCTGGAGCTTCACTGCTTTCCTCAGCTACTGGAGTAGCATCCTCATTGCTTGTTTGAGCATCATCAGCTTGAGCCTCACTGCTCCCAACAGCTGGAGCAGAGGGTGCGAGCTTCACTGCTATCTTCTACAGTAGCAGGTGCTTCTCTAATTTTCTCGGGAGCAGCTTCTGCTGCAGTCTCAACCTTTGCTACTTCAACAGATTTTCAGTCAACAGGCTTCTCATCTTTTGGCAAAGAATTTTCCTAAGTTCAACAGCAGTAGGCAAAACATTTTAGATTCAAACAAACATGTACAGAAGACGAACTGCTAGATTGCAGATTTTCATCACATTCAAATCCCAAACTGAAACATGTAGCTAAAAACCACTCCAATTTTTCTGATTTGCACCGCCAATCATAATTCCTACAAGTGAAACATTCCCTTATAACTATGAAACTAAATTATATAATACCATATAATACACATTCCTTTCATTTAGACAACTCTCTCAATCTTTCATTACACAACTGGGCGATTTGTAGGGCTCAACACTCTATGTCTTCTAATCACTCTAAACCATGCTAAGATATAGCCTTACTCATGTGTGTGAAAGAGAGAGTAGAAAACTCAGATCAAGTTGTAATCAAATTATAAAAACAAATTAAACAAAACGGATAGCCATACTAAATTAGAGTTGCCAGGAAGAGAATGCATATCACAATCCTTATTTCATATTCAAAGATGTAGAGTAAATTAGATGTACAGCAAAAACAAAACAAAAAACAATAAGAGTATGTAATGAACATCACAGTTGTGCCTTGAACTCAATTTGCATAGTAGGTAGCATAAAAAATTTAAAAACAAAATTCGAAGCAGAGATTCAAAATGAACATGTTATCATTTGTTTTTCATAAAATCCAGAATGATAGGTAAGAGGAAAGCTGTTACTAGAGTGAGTGGAGTTAATAAAACCCCAATTTGGTACCTGACACGCTAAAGCTCTTCCCTTCCTAATAGAAGTATCCTCGGTAAGTAAGATCAGGGCTTCACTTAGTTTTCCTATGTAGTTGTTTGTTAGTTTCATCTATAGTGACATCATTGTTCTCAGTTTTTTTACCACCTTTAAAAATGGGAACTAGTGAACCTGAAAACTTGTGTCGGCGGCTTATGATGTAGATGGAGAAGCTGCAGCAACACACTGTGCCTCAATAGTGGTTGCGTCAACTTTTGCACTCATGTTTCCAACACTCAAACTTGCCTTCAATAATCCTTGAAAAATCAATGCATACAGAACATGCTGCAGTCTAACAATGGACAATACCAAATGTGAGACATATACCAAAGAAAATATTACTCTATACCCTCTATGTAAACATACATAAAATCCCTCTCATATAGCACGTAACCCAAAAAAAAAGCACTCAACTAGCATGACCAGTAGGCAAGTGTCAAGACACAAACACCCTATATAGATAAAATTAACTCAACCCCATATAATAAATTCCAAAACTTTCAACATTTCTACAACAATAAGAATCCATAAATTATACTAATAAAGACAATGTATTTAAATTGAAAGAGACCCGACAAAATTGAGTTTGTTGTATGACATTTTTGAATTGACCACGAGTTTGTTGCAAGACATAAATTATACTCATAAAGCTTTTCTTGTAATGTGTCATAGAGGGGTATGGATGTATGCTCTATAAGCTCTGCTATCTGCAGCATAGAGGGGTATGCTCTATAGGTTCAGTTTTTTGATTTTCTTTATAATGTAATTAGTTTACTTTTATTTGGTTTCTATCTACTTTTGAAATTGATAAAATAATACTTAAAGGAGACATTATTAGTTCAATAATAGCACGGTGTGTAAGCAGCAAGTAATATAAGATTTAGCTTTATAACTTCTTTAGATGGTAAAATTGTACTAGGTTGTTCAATCTCTCTTACAAATCCACAACGTCACGTTGATTTGAATGACTGCTTAAGTTTTTATGAAATATGCAGGAGCTAGATTACAACGAATTTCTAAATCAACAGATCATCAATTAAGATTAAGAACAAAGAAATGAACAGCTTTTTATCAACCAATGATCAAGAATAGGCAGAAAAGTGACGAGCTTTGCAATAGATTACTACCTAGCTGTGAATGTAGACTCCAACGTTCTCCAAGTTTGAAGCATTGCCAATACATCATCAAGTGTAACTTTAGTCTTGAAACAAAGTTCTGTCAATACTTAGAGTGATGAGATTTGCCAGAAGTTGGTTTATGATGTTGTGCAACATTCAGGTTGAACTCGCTCCTTGCTTGCCAGCCTTTCAAACACAGAGTCATAAAATAACCTCGTTCCCCACTTGGCAGCCTCTCAAACATCACCTCACTAGGTACAGGAAAAATATTGTACTTTAAAATTGATTTAATTCACATTTGAATAATTTTAGTTTACTTTAGTCACCAATGAAAGACACGACTTATCTCAGACAATTAAGCATCAATGCATCATAAGCATCACCGCATATGTTAAACTTTGCCAAATTTCGGCACATTCAACAATTCATTCGTCTCAATTTGATTTACAGCAGAAGATCTCCAAAATTGAAGAACTAGTAAAGTACAATGTAAATTTGATATCGAAATTGAACTCATGAAGATTTTCGATGAGTTTAATTAAGAAATTATTAACGGTAAACCCTAGATAGTGAGATCAAATTCTGATGATTTAGAAAAAGAGAGAAATAAAACATCTTACCTCAGAAGCTGCTTCAATGGCGTAGAGAAAGATCGGAAGCCGTTTCAATGGTTTTACCTAATTTGTATCGAAAAATTACACAAATATGGGTTCAAATTGTAGATTTCAAGATGATGATGAGTTTCAGCAACATGAATTTCAAAAATTCGCGTTGAATTGATAAGATTTGAGCTTGAAAATGGTAGAGGAGAACAAAAATGGCGTTAGTGAGGAGAGAGAAAATCGCGGAGGAGAGGAGAGAGAAACTCAGTCAATTCGTCTGATTTAATTTGGGCCGTTAGATCGCGCGCTTTCGGTGTTAGATCTGACGGTCTAGATTAGTTCCTAGTTCCTATTATAGGATTGGTTCTCATTATAACCTGGTCCTATATATATATATATATATATATAAATATATATATATGAATCGTGTTACCATGAGAACTAGGTAAATAATAGGAACTAGAAACTCTTTTGGACTGTTAGATCTAACAAAAATAGGCCCGCGATCAACGGTCTAGATTAAATCACGCATATTCAATTCATTTCCCAAAAATCAAGCGCTCTTTCTCTTTCCTCAAGCATTTTCTCCCTCCTCCCTTACAACGAGCCTCTGAATTCTCCATAAGCGGCCGCCGAGCTTTCTCTACTCCATTAAAGCAACTTTCGAGCTTTCACTACTCCATTGAAGCGGCTTAAGTAAATTACTTGTTGATTCTAACTCGTTTTGCAGAAATTACTTGATAATACTTCAAAAATTTTGGTACTATTTCAAAATGTTAATTTGAATTAGATTTATAATGCTGTGATAGTCTTTGAAGATTATAATGTTTGAAATGTTATTTATGTAATTACTAACTTATTTTAGTGTTTCCAGGTTGAATTCTGCTGAAATTTGAAGTTGTCCAAAATGAGGTTGCGAGAGATCGAGGTTGTGTGAAATTGAAGGTGTTTAAAGTTGAAATTTTACGCGAAATCGAGTAATATTTCTGAAATTTACTATAATTTTCCTGTTTTTTGTGTTTCAGTGATTTTATTGTTGAATAATTTAATTAGTATAAATGAAGGTTCTTAATTTGTTACTTTGCATATCAACTGTTCGACGAAATTCCTGTGAGAGATCATATATATATGTTGTCTGATAATGGTGATTAAAAGTCTTAAACACATTTGATGTTCCATCCGAGGTCCATTTCATTTAGATAATTTATTTTGTTTCGGGGTTTTTTGATGTCTTGCGGGAGAGTTACATCACTAAGTCTGGTTCCCGGCTGAGCTACAGCTGCAAAACAACGGAAGCTCTAGTTAGTCGGAGTTTTCGCCTCCGACGATCAAGTTAGAAAGTGTTCGGAGTAAAAAAGCGGGAAGTAAAATATCTTCTCGGATCCCGAGATTAGATGTTTTCTCCGTTGTAAGAGAACTAATTGCGATGTAATAAATGAATGTGTACGTGTCCCCAAAATGGGGTAAATCTCCCCATTTATAGGGTCGTTGGGATTTGTGCCCTTACCTAGGCCACTTCGACCTAGGACTGATGGGCTGTGCCGTTTTGCGGCTTTTTCAGGAATTGGGCCCTAAAGGCCGCCATTTCCTTTGGGGTATCTTCCTGCCACATGTCATGCCCTGGTAAGTCCACTTTGGACTCTCCCTAGAGTCACTAGTAGAGAAATGGTCATTTGCGTCGCACTTTTAGAGTGTATTTGCGTCGGTTCTAGGTGCAAAGCAAGTGTTCGCGACGCAAATGACTTTTAAGTCATTTGCGTCGCACATTGGTGCAATGCAAATAACTCTTATTTGCTTCCAAATAACTCTTATTTGCGTCGCACTTCTATAAAAGTGTGACGCAAATAACTCTTATTTGCTTCACACATTTATAAAAGTGCGACGCAAATGATTGTTATTTGCGTTAAATGGTGAAGCGAATTCTAGTTATTTGCATCGCTTTTTTACAATATTGTGACGCAAATGAATCTTGTTTGACAATTCAAAAAGCGAATTATTTGCGTTGCTTGTTTGTTTAATGATCAGCGATGAAAATGATATATAAACATATATATAATACAAAATAAAAAGTAAGAAGCAATAATAAAGAATTCAAATATAAATTTTGGCAGAATTTCCTTTGTAATTTGGCCTACCCATAAAATTGGGAATGACGGCATCATATCAAAAACCTGTCCAATAAATTTACAACTCAATTCCATTGACATTATAGTCATCATTCAACACAATCACCAACACCAACCCAAATTGTTGGTAAACAAAATACATACATTCATGTCAATCTTAACAAATAGAACAAGAGTCTAACAAGTAAATGGAGTTTTGTAAGTGTAGATCTAAAGTTCAACATTGCATACAAAATAGACTGTCCAAATATCTCGAACCTCGTTTATCTCCTCATTTGTGTACGGTGTAGATCTTGAAAAATCCTAATAGCACAACACAAACAAAAGATCAAAAGTTTAATCCAAGTGTAAGTACTTCAAATTGTATTTATTAAGTTAAAATGAAATATTTGACACCTCATACCGTAATAAGGTCCTCACTATTATGATGATATTGCATTATTTCGAGGGCACATAAGTTTCTTAGATCCAAAAACACTTCAAGTAGTTACAACCTAAATGAGATAGAACATTCAAGAACAGTCCCAAACCGGGGACTATTCAGAACTTACTCCTAATGAGTAAGCCCTGTACGGGTATCTAAGCCAATGATGCAAACATTATTACAATTTCAATCAATTATATCACAATTAGAAATCCAGTACAATTAACAATCATTATTCCAACCACAAAAAGTAAGTTAAAACTACATAATAAAATGGTTAGAGTATATACCACAAGTGAAGACAATGTCGTATGTGTACAATCGCCTCAAACTAGACAAAATTAACAAGAACTCACTTGAATATATTTTTAGTTATATACTATTGTTAATGAATAACTTTATACCAGGAAAAATTAACAAGAGGGTATATAATATATCTATGAAAAACAGTGGTCAAATTCAATAATTATAACACCCAAACTTTTTGAACATCAATTGGAAATACCTCTTCACTAATTAAGAGGTAAGGCAACATACCTATCAAAAAAATATATATATTTATCAATCTCTCCAAATCACTTATCCCAAAAGCCAAAAGCATTGTGAATTCTATTTTAATTTCACTTGCTTGAATATATAGCAAATAAAACATGGACAAAGCATCCTATCAATGGCAACATTAATAATTACCTCGAGTTTCTCGAGCAGATGATGTATGGTGGAATCTGCTAGCCGATGAAACTCGTCTTCCTGAAGCACAAAACTATTCACGGGGCGGATGGTCTGGGTAACCAAAACTTTCCTCCTCCAAATGGAAAGGCAATTGAGCAATCAGCAGCTGCTTTTCTTGTTGATCAGGCTAGCAAGTATCCTGGACAAAGCATCAGGCACATATCACCCAAAAGTAAAAACTAAACAAAGCTAAAAATAAAAAAATTAAGGTTGCTAGTGAATTTAGTCTAGAGGTGAATTATTAGTCAGTTCAAGCACCTTGTGCTGACTTTTCAGTTCTTGACTGTCCAAAAAATCTGAAGTTGAAAATACCAGCTATACCTTGTCCCTTTGCTAGCTTCTCAATTTCTACGAGTTTGTGCTTAAGTTGCTCCACTTCCTTATATAGAGCTTCGTTTTTGCTTATGTATCCAAATCTTTTCCTCATCTTTTTGCTCTATTGACAATAAAATTGATTTTTAAGCTAATACATACTCGGCTTCAGGTCTATCGTCATGTGTCAATGGTTAAGGAAGTTTCCTTAATGCCTTTAACCATTCAATCATGCAGATTTATCACAAACTATGACCAATAAAGAAAGAACCTAAACCATCCCTTTGTATCATATAATCAAGGCCAAGCAAACCAGTATAAGAAACGAATAAAGAGTCCCCCCCCTCCCCCCACTAAACAGAATCACATTATTCTCTGTTCTTCTTCGACACACCGCTTTGTAATTAGAATTTAAAGTTGTATGCCCATCATTCAGTATACTTCGTACTATGACAATGTATACGCTATTTGTCACTTACTCACATATATGTCGGATTTAGTTCTCTAATCAAACTATGACCAATAATTCATCAAAAAGTAAGTTCCTCCGACCCTCATGGCAACAGATAATTCAATTTACAAGGGGCAACTCTCTGAATTCCATTTCACACTACAGTTTTTGCTCAAGCACTATGAATGAATTGGGAGGCACAGTCCTAGCACTACATATCAAGTAAAACCTCAGTGTTAGCGTGTAGCAATATCAAGCTAATGGATACAATAAGGTTAACAGAGAAAGCATAAGAAACAAAAACAATGAAATAATCGCAAACTTATAACTCAAATCAAACCGCCGGTGAATGGCAACAATGAAAAGGGTTTCAATTCAAACTAACCCAAATCAAAATTCTAAACCAGCAACTTCCTAATTCACTTAAAATTCAAAAACAATACCCAATTCAATTCTCCCCAATTCCAGACTAATTAACTAGATTTGGCCCCAAAAAAACCTAAATTCTGAAGCAAATTGAATAAAACAAAGATAACAATCAATTAAAAACAAAAAAAAAAACCAAGAAAAAAGAATACCTCAAAATAAACCTTCAAATTTGCTCGTTTATGCTCTAAATTAGGGTTCAAATTAAACCTTCGAATTTGCTGCATAAATTTACATACATTAACCAACAAAATCAATACATGTTGCTCGAAAATTAGGGTTCGAATTCGCTGCACTAGTTTAGGGTTCGTTACCTGTGCGTTTGTTGCTCGAAAATTCGTCTTATGCTGCTGCTGGGAACGAATAAGGAGGTAGCTTAATTACCTTCGAATTTTTGCTCGAATTCAGTTGCTGGGAACGAATTGTTGCTGGGAAAGAATTGTTGTTGAGAAGAACGAATGAAGAAAAGTTTTGGGAACGTTGATGATAAATTCTAGCGAAAAGAAGAAAAGTTAGAAAGGTTTTTTTTATTTTTTTTCAGTTTTGGAATAGTTATTTGCGTCTCACTTTTAGTAACAAGTGACGCAAATAATTACGCAAATAATTACGCAAATAATTCACAAAATCATTTGCGTCACTTGTTACTAAAAGAGAGATGCAAATGACTTAATTATTTGCGTCGCTTATTTATTAAAAAGCGACGCAAATAACCAATATCAGTGTTCTGCGTCACACTTTTAATAAATAAGCGACGCAAATAACGTAAACTGAACTTAAATTATATCATTTGCTTCGTTTGTTTCTACAAGTGACGCAAATAAGGCGACGCAAATGAGCATTTCTCTACTAGTGAGTGACACGTGTCACGCTGTGGCTGGACCACGTGGTTGGGTAAAAATACCCAAATTATTTGTCCTTCACAAGGGTGACGTGGCGTGCCACGTGGCGCCTGTGACAAATGTCACGCATGCACTTGTGACAAGTTTTTTACTGTTCACCTTCTGGGGTAATTTTAGGGTTTTGGATCCTAAATTTTTACCCTTCTATAAATAATTTTCACCCCCCCCCATTTTCGCAAGTTTACAAAAAAATCCTTGAGAGAGAATGTTTGTCTTTTGAGAGAATTTGTCTTTTTATGAGAAAAACATCTTTTGCCTGCACCTTGTCCTCCTGTTCCACAGTCGATCAAGACTTTCAAGCGTCCTTAGTACCTTCATTCTAAAGGTAACCGCTCGTTTTTCTATCTCTTTCTCTTTATTTTAGTTTTGTTTCTTTTCTTCGAAAATGGTTTCACAAAAACACACGACACAGCCTAGGATAGCGATCAGTCGGTCACCGGGGACGGCTGAATCTAGAACTAGGAGTGCCGGCTGTCCCTTCTTAGACTCCCCTTTGCGAACTTCCCTAAATCCGACCGTCTCTGTGTCTGTGCAGGATACTATGGCCAGAACAAAGAGAACAACAAGGGAAAAAAATGTAGGCGGCTCCTTTAGGGTGCCTATTAGTGAATTTTCTGACCTGCCACTTGGCTCCTCAAGTACTCATGATGACTCAATTTTACGAGAGTCGGGGGAGGAGTTAGGGAGCAATGCTTCTAGCTCTGTTCGTCAGGCCTCCAATTCGGACGTTAGGTCCGACAATTCGGACGGTGAATTAGAGTCGTCTTCTTCTGATAGAGTCTCTGAAGGCTTTGATGAAAAGCGCTCTCGGCTGGAGACGGCGAGGGAGTCCCTCTCTGTAGAGAATGGTGAGGAATGGGCCTCTACCTCTGCCACTTTCCGAGAGCAATTTGCCGCCTATTATCATCATGTCCCAAAAAAGCAGGCGAAAAGTCATGCTTGATAAGATGAAATAGTTTAGATCAGACCATGTCATGGGGCATGGATATGTTATCAGCATTCCTAATTCAGAGGACACTGTTGTCTAGCCGAAAGGGTCAAGCTACGGGGACGAGTGTTTTGGCTGCTATGAAGCGGCAATTTAGGCTGGTTTAAGGTTCCCTCTCCATCCGACAGTGGAGAGGATTTTGGACGGATACCAGCTAGGTGTCTGGTAACTTGCCACCAACTCTTGGGTGAATATCCTGGGGTTCGTTGCCGCCTGTGAGATGTAGAAGGTAGAGCCCAACTTCGAGGCTTTTGCCAAGATGCACTACCTCAGCCGGACTTCAAAAGCAAGCGGATTAGGATGGTATACACTTTCGAACCATAAGGGTTATATGATGGCTGTCGGGAAAGAGTCCAAATGGAAGGACTGGAGGAGAAAGTTCTACATCATCTCCTCCCTCGACAGAGTGAAGAACAAAATACAACCGGTGGAACCGGAATCCCCTTCTGCTGGGTCAAAAGGCAGAACTGCCGCCTGTCCCAAGGAGGGGTCGGGAGCAGATCCTAAAGCTAGGTCTCTTTAAGGTGATTATCCGGTCAGAGGAAGAGAATGGAGAGAAAGAGATTGTCCCTCAAAGCTACATTCCCAATTATGAATGGCTAGCTAATGGAACTTACTTGGCCGCATGCGGCCTTAGCGTTGAGAGGCCCAGAGGTAGATGGTCGAATGTGTTTTAATTGTTAGTAAAACTTGATATTTGATCAGTTATCTTACTAACCATTTGACTTGTGATGCAGACAAAGCCATGGAGAAGCTCTCTGCCTTCAAAAAGTCGATTTCTAACTTAGCCACCTACTACCGCTCGCTTCTTCACAAGTGGAAGTCGGATGACCTCGAGGCGGACAAGCTGCCCAAGGTAAGCTCCAGTTTTATTTGAATTTTAACTTAATTGAGTTACTTTTCCAGCCTGATTTGACTCCCTTTGGTTTTTATGGGGGAATCAGGCAAGCCTCCATCCTTTTCTTAGCCGGACCCGAAGCTACAAAAACAGACGGCCGGCGATGTGAAGCCTCCTGGCAAGTCCAGGAAGCATGTGGCGTGCAAGCCGCGCCCTTCTAACCCTCTGAAGAATGACTCTCATCCCGCAACGGGGGGAAAATCTCCCTCCATTCTCGAAGCTCTAAAGAAGCCAGACGCCCGACGGGTGTCGAAGAGTGGCAAAAGTCCACTCGGCGCAACTACCATCTTAGCAGCATGAGGGAGCAAACTCCCTAAGGAACGGGAGGCTGTAGGCGGGAGCAAGCCTCCTAAGGAGAGTGAAGAGGTGAAGGCTAGAGGTATCACCACTTTAAACCCTTTGCCTTACCCTTGTAGGGTTAAATCTTATCAACAGTCACCAGGTACTTCCAAAGACACCCGGTCTTTTGGCCGGACTTACGTCGACTACTTACGCGGTGTTGAATGTGTAGATGCCACCATGAGGCTGGATCTTCAGCTATATGCGAAGAACATGCTGAGGGCCATCTCCCTAGAGGATAGGGAGTCTGTTAGAGGAGTCGACACACTCAACTTCGACGCCATCCTGGCCCTTCTTGCTGAGGTATAATGACTTATAGTTTTTCTTTTGGTTTACCTTTAGGGCCGCTTGGTATTAATGAACTTTTTCTTACTGGATGTAGGCTATGATGCGGGTGAACAGCCTTAAAAAGCCGTTCAATGAGAAGCAGAAAGAGGTAAAGGCTGCTAAAGACCGGGCTGCCTCTTCTCTAGATACGACAATGTTTGAGATTTCTCAAAATGAGATACTAACCACTGATATCCTGTATTCTATGGTGTCGACCAACCTGTAGGTCAAGGCCAACTTGGATGCGGCCTAGAAGTGAGTGACTGAGCTAGAGGATGAGGTGAAAAACCTCAAGGCCAAGCTTGAGCCACTTGAGGATGCGGACGCTGAAGCTGAGGGGCTGTGTAGTCGATGTGAGAGCCTTAAGAAAAAAAATACATAACCAGCAGGTTCAGCTGAGCAAGAAGTATACGACCCGGGCTGAACAGGAGAAGGCGGCTCTAGTTACGCAGATGATGGACGACTGGGACACTCTCATGCAGATGACCTGACACTCCCTCTTCCCAGCCAATGACTATAACGGGTGGAAGCATTCATTTGAGGGGGCCACCTTAGAGCTCAACGCCAAGCAGCTGAAGGAGTCAGAGGGAGAAGAGGAGTCATCCGACTCAGGTCCGATCAAGAGGAGCAGGAGAAGGAAAAAGATAGGCAGCCGACTGGGGACAATGAGGATGCGGCTGCCAACACTGGAGAGCTCCCTCCTGATGATAATTAGCTTTTTTGTCTTCTGCGGCCAAGTGGCCATTTGCTATGTTTTTTCGGCCCACGTGCCGAGTAACTATATATCTTTACCGACCAGGGGGTCGGTTAAATGAACATTTCTGCCGGTTGTACCGGTTAACAATTTCACCTACGGTCGGCTTTATTTATTAATGAATCATACGTCCATTAGGTCGGCTTTATTTCATTGTGCTTTTGCTTTAAAATTTTAAAGTCTTTGAATTTTCGTTATGCGTAGATTTTAGCTAAGTATTTAACTTGCCTTTTTCTATGCACTTTTTTTGTTATACCGGATGTTGTTGCCCCTAGGCGGCTGTGCACTTGATTCTAAAGGTGAATTGATTGACTTAGAAATTTTTAATACTTGAAAGAGTATGCTTAATTTCCAAGTCAATCAATCACTATGATAATTGCCCCAAACCAAGCGGACATTCGTCCATCGAGCAGACGGGTAAACGTTTAGTAGCAGACGGCCATTGGCCGTATTAAGTCATTTTGAACGAGCAATATTTAGCTGCTAAGTTTTGGACTTAGCTTATATTTTTAAATTTGGGCGCATGTGTTGCCCCTGAGTAATAACAACCGTCTTAATGGTGTAAGCACCAAAATGAGTTCTATTATCTAAATGAAATAATAGCCGACTACCGGTTGTTATAGAACAGGTGGTAAACTTTAGCTATCTAGGTCTCATACTAGATTATTCAAGTCAAACAGCTACGAGCTTGTCTTTATCCAGACAGTCGGTTGGGCCGTTTATTTTTGAGTTTATAGAGCAATGTACCACCCAAATGGGAGATGCTCTCTTTGGCAAATTCACCCGGATGGGCGTCGCCGGATGTCGCACTCTTGTAGGAGCAGACGGTTGGTTTAAATTTCGCCGCCTGCACATTGCACCAGCGGTGTTCCCATTGGGAGACATATCTAATATAGAAAAAATAATCAAATTTGAATATAAAAAGCAACTTTTCATTAATAGGCTTTTCATTTAAAAAAAATTAACAAGTCTCAGAGGTAGTACTTTTTTAAGTTGTCTACATTCCAAGTTTTGTCTAGGTTCCTGCCGTCTGGAGTTTCTAGGCGGTAGGTGCCGCCACTTACTTTTTCATAGATTCGGTAGGGACCTTCCCAATTGGGCGTCAACTTGCGTTGCTCATTGGCCCTACCGGTTGCCTCATTTTCCATAACACAAAGTTCCCAACTTTCAAGGGCCATTTGTGTACTCTCTTGTTGTAGGTTCTTGTCATTCTTAGACGGTAGATCTCATGACGCAAGGTAGCATTGCCCTTGCATTCTGGAAGTGAGTTCAATGCTAATCGCATGGCCTCCCAGTTTGCCTCTTCATCATATAACATGACTCGAAGAGTCGGCTCATAATGCTTGATTGGTAAGATGGCTTCTACGCCGTATACCATGAGGAATGGGGTTTCGCCGGTTGCCCCTTTTGTTGTTGTTTTTATGGCCCATAGGACATGAGTTAACTCTTCTGCCCATAGACCGCCGACCCTTTCAATTTTCTTCTTAATGCCGTCTAAGATTAGCTTGTTGAAGGCTTCAACCTGGCCGTTT